CTTTTCAACTATAAAGAGATAGTAGCTTTTTGTTTGACTTCGCCTTCTGGGACTTCTTTCTGAGAAAACTTATTAAATCAAACTGTAATGTGGGTGATTTTGTGCTATAGATAAAAGCCCAGGAGGAGTTTTTCAAACACTTCTGCATTTGAGATTGTAGACTTCTATGAACAATATGTGATTTATATCTTCAGAGCTATAAAGTGAATATGTTATTAATAGGTTGACTTACTGAAGCAAATTTCCAACAGAAACTCAGTCTTTAAAAGACTAAACTCATTTTGTATATGAATTTTCCTAGAATAACTTTGGCATTATGTAGGAATAGTAGGATGTCTTATTATCCATTCAATACATTTTAATATGGAAACTGCATTATTGTTTTTATTTATTATTCATAGAGTGCAAGAGAACAACATGGCAGGGAACAATGCAAACACTTCAGGCACAGCTTCTTCTTCTTCTAGGAATGTAAAATCAAAAACAAATGTAAACAGGATTACCCCCTCAGACCCAAACCAGATGGCAGGGTCACTCTCTGCCATAGGGAAATGGGATACAGTAGGATCAAAGAGAGTCCTCTTTTTGTTAAAGCCTGATTTTGTTCATTGTTGCTTCTGTAAATTACGTTCTCTCATTATCTACTGAAACCCAGGAAAAGTTAGGCTCAAAATAAAGGAAGCCCCTAACTCTAAAGCTAATAAATAAAGAAACATATTAATAAAATTCAAAGGTTAACAGAGGAAGAAAATATTGTCCTTATAAAGCAGTAAGCTTTACTCATTAAAATTAAGGAATAGTTAATAAATTGATATTTAGACGAAAGCAAAATGTCTTTTTATTCAAAACCAAAGATGAGATAAATTTTCAGGTTAATGATTGAAGAGTGGGTAAAGCTATTTATCCTAGAATCTATTTTCCAACTCCATATCTAACATAAAATAGGTGCTCAAGAAATACCCATTTTTTTATTTCCACAAACTACCTTGTTCCTAATTATTATCTTATTTGAAAGGCAAAGAGAGGGATAGCAAAGTAGAGAGAGATGACAGACACAGTGACACTGGTTCCTTTCTCAAAGGTGCACAAAATTTAGGGCTGGGCCAGGTCAAGGTCAGAGACCATACTCAATCCAGTCCTCCCCTTTGGGCATCAAGGACTCAGCTATTTAAGTGTTCATTTGCTGTCTTCCACATTACACATTAGCTGGAAGTTGGGTTGACATGGAAGAATCAGTATTCCTATTAGGTGCTCCAAATGAGCTATGGGGATCCCAAGCGGCATCTTAACCACTGTACAAAACTTGTTCCCATTTTATCCATTTTACTTTTGTTCCTCATAATTCAAACATAAAATAATAATACATATAGCTGAAATAATGATTTAAAGCCATAAAAATCTCTTCTACCTGGGGAAAGACATGTGAGAGGAAAATATGGTTAAGAAAACTATCTTCTGCCTTACACTCCAGCATGCTTTTTGTTCACTTTTGAGTAGACTCTCAATATTGATGGATAGAAAATCATACCTTCCTCCCATGGGACAATACACAAGAACTTAGGTTATAATAGGGCTTTTACTATACATTGTGGTCCCATGGAACACAGTCCTCTCCCTGTCACTTAAAGAATCTGACGAGAAAGAGGCAGGAAACATATTTTACTGAGAAGAGAACTGAGGTTAGCTAAAGCTTCCTCTGAAGATGAGAACAGACTCAATATGTGGGAGTGGTATGGAATTACTCTAATAGTTAATACTAGGTTTGCTGTTACTAGGAGTCGCATTGTTTATTATTATTATTTTTTGACAAATAAGGATTGTATATATTCAAGGTGGGGCAATGATCAGCATTGTCAAATTAGTTAACACAGCTCTTGCAACTCATGCTGCACAACAAATCTTCAGAATTTACAATGAAAAGTTATGTCCCATTTGTCCAATATTTCCCCATTTCTCCAATCCCCAATCCTGTACAGAAGAGGCCTGGCTTAGTAGTCTGAAAATGTATGTTGACTCTAACATAAGATGTTTATCAGAACTTATTAAGATCAAGTTCTAAGTTAATGATAAAACCTGAAAGAAGCGTAAAACTGGTGGAAATTTGCTAGGTCATAAATATCAATGACTCCATGTCTCAAGTTTCTTCCTCAGCTGGTAGCTGATTTTTAGTCTCTTATTTCTTTCAACTCAACAACCAATGTGGTATCTTTCATATGTAAAGCTAGAAATTAAAGTTGAGCTAACTGAATTGAGTAGAAAACACTTTTAGAGGGCTTTTATCACCATGGGGGGGTCATGCATGAATGTTATGTCCCTGGCCAGGTAATGTCCACGAACAAGTACAAATCTTTCTGCTGCCTCTAAGTGTAGAGTCATGACCACCAACAGATCAAGGAATTTCAGGCTATAAAATGGAGAAAGAAATTGTCTATGAGGGCCTAGGGAGTCCTCTGCAAGGGGAGAAATGTAAAGTTTGGAAAAGTCAGATAGAAAAAAAAAAAGAATAGAAATGAGGCTCAATGTTGGAGCATATCACAAGTCCATGGATCCATAGAACAATTATCAAGGAAAGAATCTGGGTAAGGGAAAGCATGGAAAAGTAAGAATTTGTTCAACCAGGATAAATGGAAGGTTTTATGACAGGTCTTTAGAGTCAGGTCATGTGAAGTGTGTTGAATAACAAAGCTGGATCCTTCAAGAAAGAAAGGAAGAAAGGAAGGAGTAAACCATCCCAGAGAACATTTTTAGTATACAATAGAAGAAGGAAAGAACTAGCTGCAAAAACATATGTATATTTATTGTGCTCTCAAATAAATGATTGGTTGCGCATAATCATCAAATAGCACAACTTCTCCTGCTTTTCTATTACCTGTCCTACTCTGTGCAATTTCCTTTCAGCTCTCCAATACCCCTTGCTTCGCTGTTCTTCTTTAAGACATGGGATGGGGATTTGTCAAAGTCAATGAGCACTTTATTACAGTGAGGACTTTCTGTAATGAACAATTCAGCAATTTAATGAGATTCTGTAGATCTGTCTCCAGCCTGTCCATCAAGTTTCACTTCTATAAAGCACCCTGACACTAATCCTCTGGCATACCCAATCTTCACCCTGGGCTGAATATTAGATTCTTCCATGGTATATTGCATTACTAGTATAACCTCAGCAAAAATGATGAACTTAACTATACTTGAGGCAATATAGCTGGGCTGATTTGATTTTTCTCTATTGAGTTGAGTATGAAGGAATTACTTATTTACTAAGATAAAGCAAAAACAGTGTCTTATTGCCTGCTTAATGCCTAAATTGATAATATTTATGTGAGTCTTTTAATTCTTTCTTGAGGACCAGGTATTAAAAAAAATTGCCTGCAGCAGAAACCAGTTTTTAAATTTCTACATTATAATATTAGTAACCTTTAGAGAGGCAATTATAGCTCTTAAGTGGACAGTATGGAATTTTCTTGACACTCAGTCATCTGCACATTACCATGTCGATCTCTGGCAGTGCCTTCAACTGTGCCACAGAAAGAGACATAAGCCACAGGAAGGTTGGCCTCAAACTGGATTCCATTGGAAAAAATTAAACACAGAATTCATTTCAAGTCTTTCTTTGTTCCTTGGAAAGTGAAGAAAATTTGGTTACTTCTCATTTTGAATTGATGAATGTAAATTCTGACCATTTGTGTCTACAGCAGACAAAAAGCACACCTTCCCCAATATTTCATCATCTGCCTGAAAAAAAAAATATATTAGCAGAAATGCCCAAGAAGTAGCAAAATAGTATGATTTTTGTTCCTTGTTCTTTTGTTTTAGTCAGGACAGTGTAGAATAGTGGACAGATAGGGTCAAGTGTGGGCTGACATGGACTTACGGACTGGCTCAGAGCAAGGCCGTGAGGCCTCATGTTCATCTAGAAGACAAGGGTGCTAACAGTTATTCTCAAGGTCTGTCTGAGGATCAGTCAAATGGTTTGTGAAGAGGCTGCGACCCAGAAAAACCTTTATAACACTGTAGCTCTTAGCCTCATTGAAGGAAACAAAATGAAGAGGAATGCTACTGTCAGAAGTAAAACAAGAGAATAAATAAAGCAGAAAGGACCAGGAAAAGCATCAGTTGGTAGAGGCAGATACTGGAAAATGGGCATATGCATTTGGCAGTGTTTTGGAGGCAGAATTAAAGTGCTTTCTGGATATTATTTGATAAGATATCAGGACTGTACATCAGTTAACAGAAGACCCAACCTACCTCCTACATTCTTTATGTAACTATTTCTTTGAATGCTTATGAAATCTCCAAGTGATGACACTCCTAGATTTAATGATGTGGCTAGCTAGTGCTTTGGAGACCAAGGCAGACTGTGTTAGAGGAAGCAGGAAGATGGGCTCTTGCTACTTGCCAGAGAACAGGTGGATTGTTCAAGGGTAGTCACCAGGAAGAGGATTTAAATTGAATAATCAACTTTAACCTACAAAACATGTCCCTGTCCCCTAGACAAAGGAGAGACACAATGTGAAAAGAATGCCAGGTCAGGTGAAAAGGCAGAGCTTAGGAAAATAGCAACTAATACAGAATGAATTGAGGGAAATTTTTCCACTTTGTTGCCAGAAGAGTTTCATTTCATTCTAAGTCCAGGCAGACTAATGTAACAAAGAAATGTTTCTGAATTGCTTACAGAGAAAGTCTAAAATTCATTTTGATTCCACTGGTCTTGAATACCCATCAGTATCACTTTATTGCCATTTCCTTTCATATTCAGATTAAGAGGAACCTTCTATCAGGGCAGAAAAATACCCTTTGACTCTGATGCGACCATGTGAGCTGATGGGAAACCACAGAGAGAATCTAAGGGATCTCAATTGTCGTCCCGGTGTGCTGAGTCTTCAAACTCCTGCTCTGCAAGGGACATCCCTACTAATGATCCAAGCAGACAAAATGGCATCCGTGGTGTGCCAATCATCAGGTGCTTCCTTGGCACTGAGGACGGAGCCCAGCACCCTTACCTGCCAGATCTGCTCTTCGCTCAGGGAGGTGAGACGGTCACTCTTCAGCACCTCCTGCAGCAGGCAGTATGGGAACATGAGAACATCTTCCGGGCGGCTTTTCAGGAGTTCTGAGAGATGTTTCACCAAGAAATCAATCACTGCCTTCTCCAACAAAGTGAGGTTAAAGAGGTCGGCAAGTCTGTACAGATCCAAGTAATTAAAGCTATTTAATTCCTGGATGACAAAAAGAGATAAAAATGAAGAAAAATCTCTTAGTGGCAGGTGAATTCAGGCAAGAAGTGCAGATGGACTCGAAAAAGTTCACATTGATAGGGGTGGGAGAAACATAATTGTTACCGTGAAAATACCAAGCAGACAAGAGAACTGATGTTCTGGAATTCCTGTTTTTCTTCAATTTACTGCTCTGAAAACACACACACACACACACACACACACACACACACACACACACACACACACACATGCACACAGAATCAAAGGCATTTTAATAAAGGATTGTGAGTACTTTCTAGTTTCAGCAGCTGAAATGTTATCTTGCAACTGTTTAGGAACAATCTGCTTATGAAGACAAGCAATGTATCCTATTACATATTACAACTCTCCTTTCTTCTACTAATGATAGTATAAGGATGGGTAAATTTGGGATCTGTGGTTAGGTGACAAAGCCTACGCAAAGATAGACTGAATTTATTCTTTTCCCATAACTTCAAGCCAAATGTTTCTTTAAGAAAGAACAACCCATTCTAAAACTAGTGAGATTGAAGCATTTTACACATAAAGTCACAGGAATTTTATGGAAAAGCCTCCTGTCCATAATGATTCCCTGTTGGTTCTGCCTAAGATGGATGATTTGTACTTGTTCCTTGTTTCTTTTCCTTAGCCTTTTTCACATTCTTTCCCATCTTCTAAAGGGGGTCCTGTAGCAATGATTCAAGGAGTGCTTGGGGTGGGGTTTCACCTAGCCCTACAAGGTTTCAAACTCAGAGCCAGGGTTTGGCAGTTACGCTTTCAGAAGGCTGAGGCTCCTGTGGGAGATTTGTCACTGTAATCTGATGAATAGCAGGGTGCTCACGCCACCACCGTCAACCCCTCTACTACCCACACACACTCACACACACGTTGGCAGCAATCTTGCATCTTTCAGCCAGAATTAGAATGTGCTATGTTTTGGTTATCCTTAGTTTTAGTTGATAATTATCACTATATGATCAATATGCTTCAATAACTTAAGGAATGAAGAAAGCCATCAGACAGCTGTTGATCTACTTAAATACTTTCAACATATTGTCCTCCTTTTCTAAGTTACTTAGGAGTGTTAAAGACTCCTCATAAGAAACACTTCATTCTACTGGGTCTGCTTCCATATTTGAAGAGTTAAGTGAGTTTGTCCTAACACAGTAGCTGATCTGAAACACGGTTAATCTCAACTGAGATGTATCAGAGATGCGGTACTTGAGTACAAGGACTAAGAAATGTAACATGGAAATAGATGGATCATTTTTATATTAATGTTGTGGTGAAATCTGGGTATACTGGGTTAAATATATTACTATAAAGTAATTTTTATTTTCAAAATATAGCTACTGGAAATGTTTAAATTACATATGTCTCTCATTGTATTTCATTTGTTCGGCAGGCACTATACCAAATTAAAAAATACACATAAAGAAACTGTAGCATTAAGTAGTGGTTAGTAGAAAAGTTCTGGAGTCAATTAAAGGGTTTACAATATGTTGACTATACTTTTAAACAAATATACTGTGCTGTGCTATAAAATAACAACTAGAAGAGAGGATTCTGATGTTTTCCCCACACAGACATAAGAAGTATTTGGGGATTGGTGCAGTGGTTAATTGGTTAATTGGTTAATTCTCCCATTTCAAGTGCCTGAATCCCATATGGGTGTCAGTTTTGTCCCAGCAGCTCCATGTCCCATCCAGTTTCCTGCCTGGGGTCTGAGAAAGCAGCTGAGGATTGCCTAAAGCCTTGAGATCCTGCACCCATGTGTGAGACTCGAGAAAAGTTCCTGGCTTCCGTTTTCAGATCGGCTCAGCTCCAGCTGCTGCAGCCACTTGGGAAGTGAACCAGTGGAGGGAGGATCTTTCCTTTTGAATTTCCTACTCTCTGTAAAATCTACTTTTTCAATAAAAATAAATAGATTTTTAGAGAAAAAGAAATGATAAGTATTTGAGAACATATAAATGTTTAATCTAATTTGAGCAACACACAACATAAATGTATTAAAACATTATATGGCACTCCATAAATACATACAGTATGTATCAGCTAATACTTAAAAATAAATTAATTTAAAAAGTTTATATATATATATAAACTTATATATATATATATATATATATATATAAATTTCCAGACTATCAATGTTGTATCAGATGCTGTTTAACTCTAGAGTTTGAATGCTCTGGCAGCAGATGATAACATTAATCATATTCCTAACAGGAGTCATGCTAAAAGACTTCAGGAATCAGGACAAGATTCTGGCTCTTAATAGGTCTAACTGCCAACATGACTGAAAGGAGAACAAATGCTTATCTTTAAAATGAAGTTCACAGATCATCACTATACACCATTTCCTTTCAAAGATCTAAGGAACTACACATTGCCAATCAACCAAAAGGTGTGACTTCGCATTCAGAAGATGAGTGGGTTATTTCTGGCAAAAGTGTCAATGGAAGCTCAACAGCATCAGTACCCCGGATATAATTTTGGCATCTCAGATAACGTAGTCTGAAGTTCCTCAGAAATCTGGTGGGGGCAGAGCATGTCACCTCTTCCAGATACATGTTCATGGAGTGCCCAGTAGCACAGTATACAGACAAGACCCTTACCAAGCTGCAAAATCCAGGCTTTGCAAAAAAGGTGCGTGGCACTAAGAGAAGAAAATCTTTCTCCCAATTTGTTCAGCTGCCAAAAAGCTGGACTATGTAGCAGCAGTCCAACATTATTTATCAATCACCTTTATATCCTTATATGGAAATACTGAATTCTTCCAATTAAAAGCATAACTTAAAAGCAGTTCAACTCAAAACTACAGGGAAGCAAATAATTTATTTTAACAGAGAATTTTGAAAGTGGTGCTTTTTTTTTCCTGCTGTGTTCATTCTAAAGAAATTGCTTAATGTCTTCTACTACAGTCTTGAAATCTTTTCATTTCTTAAACATGCAATTTTATACATCCCTCAGGTGCAATCTAACAAAGCATGTCCAGTCTATTAGCCAAAACAGAGAAGGTGGACTAGATAAGTGTTCTTTACTAAAGGAAAGCAGCAAACAGGAGCAGAACTGACACAAGTTCAAGACTTAGAAAGTAAGGGTGCTCCCTTGCCTGTCTTTCCATTTATTCTCTCTTCTGCTTAAAAATATCATCTCCCAAATTTCCAATACTTTTTGGATATGTCATGGTTTCCTTTCCCCATGTTGTGTCTTGTTCACATATCAGTGATTAAACTAATGTTAAACTGAAGACTCAACGTGAAAGAAAATCCACCCTCCCTCAGATTAGGATGCCTCAGCACACACGCCTTAAGTTGAGCAGATAGGCTCTTGGAATTTTAACAAAACAAAAATCACAGCATTTTAGCCATTGGTGAGACCGTGTGTAAGCAAAGTAAGTTCCAACAATGCTGCTTTTAAGGATTTCCATTAACGTGTTGGGGGAAATGGGAAGCAATGATTAAACTGCATTAAAGGCCCACCTGTAAGGCTCTGGATAGAAAAAATCATTACTGTTTTAGAAAGAGTGCTATTATGTTACTGGTTATAAAAAGCAATACTTGTTCATTTTAAGAAATCCAAGACGCACAAAGTAAGAAAAAGAAAACAAAAATCATTCATAATTTCACCATGCAGAGATAATCACTATTAATGTTTTTGTATATGTATTTTCAGACTTTAAAAAAGAAATCTTTTATATGTTGAAGAAAGAGAAACAGTAATTGCATCCAAGGCAGAACACATCACAAGCTTAGCTGTAATCCAGCTTGGGAGAGAAATGCAGGGCTTGTGGAGTCAGGGAGCCTTAGCTCAAATTCACCTCCGAAACCGCTGGTCAGAGCTTGGGGTCAATCCCTGAGCCCTTCAGTATTCCCCACGTACAAAATGGAAATTTCAGCCAACTTCCAGGATTGTTAGTGAGATAATGCATGAAAAACACTGTCCCAGGGCAGCACAGGAAAATATACAGTAGGTTGGATAGGGGTTAGTGAGAACGGTAAGAAACTTTTGATCTCTGTCATCCAATATCCATGAGCCATTAACTCATCACTGACATGAGGAGATCAATTAAAAAACGCGATTATTGGCCGCCTGGGGAGTGCATCAATGGATGGAAGATCCCTTCTGTCTCTCTCCTCTCTGTATATCTGACTTTCCAATAAAAATAAATAAATCTTTGTTTAAAAAGAAAGTGATTAGGTATATCATTAAGTCAGGAAAACAGAGTCCAGCCAAAGCAAAAAACAAAGAACTGAGTTACAAATGAATCGCATGTTAGTATATTCCACAAGCTTTCTCCTAAATGCTTGTATTCATTTTCCCAATGATTTTTTTTAAGATTTATTTATTTTTATTGGAATGGCAGATACACAGATAGGAGGAGAGACAGAGAAGAAGATCTTCTATCCAATGGTTCACTCCCCAAGCGGCCACAATGGCTGGAGCTGAGCCAATCCGAAGCCAGGAGCCAGGAGCTCTTCTGGGTCTCCCACGTGGGTACAGGGTCCCAAGGCTTTGGGCCGTCCTCGACTGCTTTCCCAGGCCACAAGCAGGGAGCTGGATGGGAAGCTGGACCGCGGGGATTAAAACCAATGCCCATATGGAATCCTGGTGTGTGCAAGGTGAGGACTTTAACCACTGCGCAATCGCGCTGGGCCCTCCCAATGGTTTTTAACAGCACATCTCTGTGGTAGCTGGCATAAAGCAATGTTCAATACTTTGCTGGATGAATGTCTATTAGCATTTTGTTTGCTTAAGAATTAAGGAAAAATAGAATAGCTTATGTCTTTCCAAGCTGTTCATCTAGTTCTGAGCCTCATCTACTTCCGGTCATTTCTCATATCTCCCTGGTCTTCGTCACCTTCCCTTCATCTTCCTGGCCTTCATATACATACACATAGAAGCAAAGCTATTGGTCATTTGGCTTCCTGACAGGGAAAGTTGATATTAATAACTACAGCTAAAAGCACTAATAGAAA